TGTCTCCAGTGATCATGATTGATCGATCGGCTTGATTTGGGTGATAGGCAAGAAAAAAAAACCTGCTCTCCCAAATCGAGGGACTGACAAAAAAATCAGACACAACGCATATGAGGAGTGTGCAGACAGACAGAAAGAGCGTGGACGAATTCGAGGGACCGATCGAATCGACGGTAGGTCAAAATGACCGATCAAGTGGGGAGGTGAAGATCAAGTGGAAGTTTATTTTAGAATTTTTGATACAACCTATTTACCTTTGAATGGAGGTCTTCATGCTGTTTACAAATAAGACATTCTCCTTCCCTATCGTTTAGTTTGGAAAAAATGTGACCCTTTTTTTTTCCTTGGAGGCCTAATGGCTTGAGAAAAAAAAGCTCAAATTAGGAGGAGAGCAAAGGTGACCGGAGAAGAGCCAACCCGAAAGCGGCCAGCCGCTCTCCGTGAAAGAATTAATTCCCCTCCGAAATTACTTACAAAATTATGACCCCTATGAAGTAATCCTCATTACTACTATTTTTGCATTATGGAGTAGAAAGTGTATAAATAGTAATACGCTCAATTGAAGAAAGTCCTGTTTTNTTTTCTCTATATCCAACCGAAGTCTGCATACCGGAAAAAGCTATTTGGAGTAGGACAGGCCAAAGATCTGATCGGTTTATGATGTGGGTGAAGCCTTGAGCGAAGATGCGCCGCGCACTCGCAAGCCATTCAGGATGCAGTTCCAGTGAGATTATGGTCATTAACCTAATCCTTCTAACTTCAATCACTAGAAAGATGCTGAGCCACTGATGACTGAAACTACGTGAAAAATATTGCTCAACAGTTAGTATTCTAAGTTTCTTTGGATCTGATGACATCAAAATATGATTTACACGAACGTCTTGCAGGAAACGCTTGTTATACCGAGAAATCTGTGCTCACCTCTGATGGTGGTTTCCGAGCATCTTGGACTCCGTCCCATTATATGCCATGCTTCGGCTTGTCTAGCTAATTGGAAGCTTATTGATCCATCACAACCGTTCTCACCAGATAATTTACGATTGAACGCATTCAACCCGCTGGATTCTGAAGGGAACAGATGGTTCTTTGTTGTCACTGCTCAGGTGTGTGGAAGAAAAACTCATTCTGAGATATTTCTCCATTTTTTTTATGTCGTACTTAACTGCAAAAGCTATCGTTCCCTTTCCCATCTGCCCAACTGTGCGCGTGAATGTGGGAAACACGCCTGCCTGCGTTAGAAACGACTATTTAGAGGTAAATTTGGGAAGGGCGAATTGAATTGTATCAGGAAGGGGCGAAGTGAGGGAGTAGATGGGGCATAGTTCAGAGAATGGTGAAGACGAAAGGGGTCCCTGAATCGTATTTTGAAGACCAGATAGCACCTTCCTACCACAGATTGAGCCGTTGTCAATGTTGTGAATGAAATTTCTCAAAAATTCAGATCGAAAAGGATTTCGGGCCGTGCGTTTATAATATTATTCGAGCGGTACATTTCAAAAGTGAAGATAGTGCTCACTATATAAACGAAGCTCTTTCCAGCATCCGGGATAGCCTATTAAAGGGCATCGAGACCATGAAGGTAAGTCAGGTTTTCTGTGATCCGAATTGTTTTGAATGGTCTTGATTCTGATAGATTCGAAAAGCTAAAAGAGAAAATCACCTCAAAAGGCTTTCAAGCACAGTTCTCGGTCTTATGGTTAGAGATAAATCCTATATATCGCTTTCCGATTTCAGCGAATGCCCGAGCTTCTAACACCTGCCGAGTTCTACCACGAACTGCGTCCATATCTTCAGGGATATGATGCGAACACGCTGAATAGCCATGGAATCGTATTTGAAGGTGTCTTTCAGTTCGGAAGGGAATTAGTGCTGGCCAAAAGTTCAGGCCCAACCTTTTGTCTATACCTCACCAGCTGTGGATACTTGGTCTAAGCTACATATTGGCGAGCACAACATCTACTTTTGATTGTTTTTGTATGTTTATTGAAAAAGGCTCTGTTTGTTGAAGGGATGGAGAAAAACGGACCAGTGAAATGTGCCGGAGCCAGTGCTGCACAGAGTTCGACACTTCAACTGGTAGATGCATTTTTGAGAGTCGAACATTCAGGTTCGTGGTAGCTGAGAAGCAGTCGGATTTTCATGACTAAACATATGTCCACGAAACAAATAGGTCAAAATTGATCTAGTATAAGTCATTCCCGTATCGTCCTTAAGTTGATAGTCGGATCCCTTGTACAAAGATCATGCTTGGATCACTGCAAAAATAGAAATAGATTGGGGTTTACTTCTGTGTAGACAGTGGGATTTGATCTTTCAATCCACCATTAAGGGGCGGAAATGTAAATTGGAGGCGTGTCTGCCTCATCATCAGAACGTAACAGATCCACCCCTTCATAAATAGCTCAGCTCGAAGTTTGAGTCAGAGTTTTCCTCCACTCCCTACACGTACAAGGGTAGTCTTCTAGATACTCTACAATTTAATGATCTTTTTCTTCGCTCTGAATTGTAAGGGCTAAACGGTTGATCGGAAAATTCCTCTAATACTCGGATGGGAACAGGGTCGTTGGCAGTTTATGTGGGCACACTGCCAACATGCGTTCGCGTTGGTGATGCCCCGTCCATTGTCACATACAAAGGATCGTAACTGAAGCAGGGCGTAACCAAGGCATAAGGCATTTCGGTATTGTACCGATAGGATCTATAAGGTAAGAGGGATGAAGCTGACTGTTTTAAGACCTTGTCACCTTACTTTACATATCATTTCTCAACCATAAATATACTTGGTCACACTCCTTAGGCCAAATAGGGGCGGGGCTGGCGTCAAATGGTCTCACCCGCCCCTAAGCACAATTGCAGTGATTTCAGAACGATTTTTCGAGGAAACCCCAAGCATGGTAATCTCCACCTACTGTGAATCAAGTCCATCACACTGGGTGCGGAATTCCTATTCACTCAATTACTATACGTCGACATTACAGGAAAAGAGAAAAAGTTCCTTAATCAGCAAAGAGAATACATGCCACGTGAACATCGTGAACTGATTCATTGGGTTGAAACGGAGTCACCGGTACAGAAACCAACGGAAGGTCGTCAAGAAGTTCTGGATGCGCTCACCAAGTTCCGGTCATTTCACTTAAACACCGTAAGACATTTCAGATAATCTCATAAGGTCTCGACTAGGATGAACATCCTTTTCCAGGTAGCACTATACATCATCACCCAGATGAAAGGTTCATCCGGAACTGGAACTGGAGGCACTTCATTTGTGCAGTTTTTGAATAAGGTTAGGGCCGATACGAAATGAAAATGATGTCTTTCAAGTGCATGATAAATAAATAGGTTCGACGGACTACAGGCAAGTCTGAGGATCAATTAAAAGACACTACTTCAACTTTGATCACTTACAAGGCCATATTACATCCTACTATCGAACTATCATAGAGATTTCCTTGAAGGCAGTTGTTACGTATATCCTGAGGAGCACCCTATTGGTGAATTGCCATGCTTATCCTCTAACCCTAGCGGCTTAGATTACTAATGGACCCCATCATCTAACACCTAGGAGCATTCCTCGAAAGCGCCAGTTTATCCCAGTTCGGTATGGTAGACCGTGTCTTTGAATATGTAATCATCTTTTATTGTAATCAACAACGAACAACAGAAAAACATAAAATTAAGTTGCAATTCTACAAGAAATTATCAGAAAGTAACATATGGATGCCTCGTGTTCACTGTGACTCGCGACAAGAGCGGATAGCAATGGTACTGACGCCCGCTCGAGGAAATCGCCATTCAGGGGCTACAGACAGGCAAATGAACACTTGAGCGTCATAGGTATAAAATGAGGTCTTTCTTGAAATCATTAAAAAGGGATAAAAATTGACCATGTACAGGAAATACAACTACAAATCAGCAAGAAAATATTAAGGAGCTACGCTGATGATCACTCGTTGATAACAATAATGAAGTCTCTCCTGAAGCTTCTCCAACAAATAGAGAATACAACAATCAGGGAACCCTAAAGTTCAATGACATCAAGAGGTATAACTGGCTATATTTGATCGTACTGAAACTTTTGGAAGTGAAGGCATAGGCTCTCAATAAGTGATTCTCAGGAAAAGCAACATGAAGAGAAGCTGAGCACCAATACAACATTGGACAACTGTAAATGCGTAGCCAAGAAGAGCATGAGTGAGGCACTAGTGAAACTCTGGACGCGCGTATTTCATCGGTAGTGGCTGAGTCCTTGACATTATATCCAGCTTCCTGAAGAGAACCATAATTAACCATAACCAAATCAAGAAAGTTTGGTCCAAAGTATAAATAGCAACTAAACAATATCACATTCGTAACAACAAATAAAGACAACGCAAACTCAAACAAAGCCAAACTTTGCTGATAGATGCTGTAACGTGCCAGTTAAACTATTATTGTCAATCTGCCGCCTATTGACCGACAGGGAACGAGAATGTGCCACCACTGATGGTTCAATTCATATCATATTACGATTGTCTACGTCGGCATGAATCTTGTGACAAAAATGCTTTAAAATACAGAGGGATCCGCGTGCTCTTCCAAATCTCTTCATCTCACCTCTGCATTTTCAAAAAGAACGAGAGAAGAAGGAATTACCGCTTACTGGCCAACAGCAATATGGAACGACAAAGTCGATTTTGAAGTGAAACGTTTGAAAGTGTGTAATAAGAGACGCATTCTAATCGTATAATCAACGAATCGCGACTATATGCCTTACCTATAAACGATACAGCTGCGGATTTTGGTGGTAGAGACTAAACGCCTTCCACGGCTCCCATTGCTCAATAATGACTAGCTCGGATAAGTGATTAAAAATATGCGACAAAAGGTCAACTGAGTGAATCTACTGACTTGCTCCGAGAGACCATGAAGTTAAACTCAAAGAAAACTCATCATTCTGATAGTGAAAATAATTTTGTACCTCTGCAAATCGGGAGCAAACAAACTTACGACTTCTTCGTTGCTGGAGTCTTTGCAGAGTTGCTATCATTTGATGTTGAAGTATCCCCACTTTGACCGTGGCCCTTAACATGAAAGACAGAACCCTCATCACAATGCCCTAGAGTAGCAACAGTAATTTATGGGCTTCTATTATAATATAAGATTCTCATTCATTAGCATATTATAACATAACATGCTAATGAATGAGTTTAATGTATTACCACATAATACAAGTGCAGCCCTCACATCAAATCTCTTCCGGAGAAGCCAAATATAGTAAAATATCAGCACATGACAGAGCGTTACCAAAATGCAACAAATGGTAAATATTGTATACAGAAGCCATACTGCCTGCAATTCGACCTGCCTCCACTGCAGGAAGATTAAACAATGCCTACCGGAGGCTCTCATCATCGTAGAATTCAGAGGAAAAGGAGGAAACTAAGTATTTCAAGGACCCATACCTCTGTGAACGGGAATAGTGTCCTACTGCCGGGAAAAAGTGAAGAGGAGGAACCTTCTTCTGAGTTCTGAAAGTAACAATAAATAGCGAAATTCAACCACATAATCATATGAGACAGCCGAAATCATTCAGTGCGCCGTGACCATAGCACATTAAATGCATCCGTACGGTAACAGAGGGGACCATCCACTTTACGTTCTAATTTTCCACGTATTTCCAGTGCAGCTTGATATGCCAAACACTGTCAACTTACCCTATCCGTTTGCAGGGTGTCAGAAATGGTGCTATTCCTACACATTGCAGATGTCATATGAGCAAGTTTTGAAATCTAAAATAGATATCATAAAAGAAAGATGAACAAAGCTACAGGTTAGAAAGTCGAGTACCTCTCCTCCCGAATCCATCGAGGTCAATGGAATACCAACTGAAGCAAATGATGTACTACTGCCAGATTGATTTGTTAGCATCATTGGGGACTCCGTGCTATCCTCATCTATAATAATGTCAGTGTGCATGCTTATATGACTCATATTAAAAAGAGGAACGACCTCTTTGTCGAGGTTGCTTATACGGGGTAGACGTCGTAAAACTACGCGGTAGCCCTTTCTCCATCGTTGGCGTACGAAAAGGGTCGCTGGTTAAATCATTCAGGCTGAAAGATACATTCGGAAGCAGAAAGGAGACCGTCGTCAGAGAAGAGCTATGAATGGCTGCTTTCATAGTCCGCCGGCCGGCCGGCCGGCCGGCGTGAAAGAGGCCGAGGTACCCACCGTCGTACGGCTAGCCAGCCAAGCAGCTGCAGTTAGAGTTATACTTGCCACTCCAACAAAATTCATTTTCAAAACTTTGGGCAACTCTCCCAAAGATACTTATTTTGTCATGTAAATGAGTGCACAATATAAATATTATAGCAAAATCTTACTTCAATGCGCAACTGTTCATCTTTACAATTTGATCTTTGAGTGCAATCGTTTCTTTGCATTTCTTCTTGTACTCTACACTTATGCGTTGTAGATCCCTGAAACACCCGCTTTTGATATGTGGTTGGAAGGGCAGTAAAGAAACAGGTGATAATCCGAGTAGAGAAAGTGGCAGGATTAGAAAGAGGCTCAGATAAGTAAAGGAATCAAACAGAGATCAAAGCATAGGATCTTATACAATAAAAGTATTTACGCCTTGTATTGATTCTTCTTGCGCATTTCTTCTTTGCAAGCTCTTTGTAGCATTTCAACACTGTTGCTCTGCAATATAGAACAATTTCAGACAATATGGAAAAGAGGAAAGTGTCTCGAGAAAAAAAGGTGAATTATCGCTCAAGTCATCAGCCTAGCGAGAAGTTTGGAGTTTGGCATCTGGGGTCTAGACTGCGTCGGATACAAGATACAAGAAAGAAATGCAAGCAAAACATGATATCACTGAATTCTTTCCCCAAAGGGCGCATTCATAGTACCGACATGACGCCGCTCACGTCGACGTCGGCAAAGGTCGTCAATCGATATTTCGTAAGTCTACTGCATGGAACAAACTGGTACCGCCTTTCTGAGACTGCTTTCGAAAACGGCCACTGCTAAAGTGGCAGCAACTGCACTGTTGCGAATGGTCATTTCATAGAAAAGGATATTTTATAAGAACTGTTGAACATAACATGAATTTTACCTTGCTTTGTAGATGCTTCATAAGTCTCCTTCTGTGACCATTCTGAAAGTCAAGCACTTGATTGATTTCGTCCACAACTGACGAAAAACTCTGCATAGGAGTGAATAACTCGCGAAGCTGGAAGTAAACTAGGTAAAAGGCTATTCTTCCAAGGAGGACACAAATCAACGAAAGTTAAAGTAAAGTCAAAATGTATTATGCTGAAGAATCGAAAACTCAGTCAAACATACCTCAGGCTTCATATTACTGTTTATTTCTACAACTTGCGGATTGTCCTTCTGACAAACCTTGCATTTCAGAGCCAAGGCTCCTGAAGGCAGACCTAATAGCGGTGACGGGAGAAGTATGATAAGCAAGTCAGAATGCTAGACATTTTTCAAACCGTTCAGTTCCGATGGTCCCATTCATACTACTGACGCCGACGCCTATGTCGGTTCTAAACGCTGAAGCCAACGTCGGCACTCATGCTATGAACGGAACCAGCGAGAACACCAAGCATGATTCCGGAAATTTTTTGGTATGGAGTAAAATGCATGACACCCAGGAAACTCCGGAACTATCGAGCCAACAGAAAATGATAATTGCGGATTATGAACTGAAACAGAAAAAAACTTGATCACCTTTTTGAACGCATTTGAAACAAACGATATGACCACAGCTGGATAGATAAAACTTCAGATCGGGAACTGGAAAGGTAAAGCAGACCATACAATGGACAAGATTGGACATCGTTATCTATAACAGCATAGATGTAATGAAGGAGCAACACAGTAGTTCATAGTAGGAAGCGTACGGGGATTTCGAGTAATGTACAGTCATAGTTTAATGAAAACCACTTTAAAATGGATGACGGTAGACATCCCTCGAGAACTAGCAAAAAAAAGCGTAGACATACTACGCGATGCGACGTCGCCTGAGCGTTTATAGAATTCCTCGCAGGACCATGTAATAGTCGTGAGGTAGCTCATGCTTCAAATGGTAGTGCAAGGTGATCGATTACCTTTCGAATTATGGTGGATTAGAAATCTAAATGTCAACGCCTTTCAATTCCCTATAACGTTTGGAATTCCTGGTCTTGGGCTAACCATCTCGCCTGTGCTGAGAACTCACCGTAAGTAGTGAGTGCTTTTGAGAAACTACTGCCCACCACAACTGTACTGTTACTAAGCCTTCAGGCCACTGAAGGCATCCCAGACTACCGTAAACGGCAGCACATAATCAGTCAGCTAACGAAAGAGCGAAGCCAGGAAGCGTGAAGTATCAAGCTCTTTATCCTAATGTGGCGCAGGAAGGAATAGCCTCATCGGTCGTTGCACGCTCGTTCTTGCGTCGCGGCAACGGTGATCGCCGACAGGCTCCGAACGAGTGCGTTGGGAGTTCAAAGACGTTCGGTGTTTCAACCCAATGCCTACTGACCGACTGCGTTTTTGACCACGCATTGACAACGCTGGACACCGATCGATCCCGCTCACGCGGCCCTGAACGCAATCTGTCCTACGTTGCCAACGCATGGCCGCCAGTCTGTCGATCGATCGTGGGTTAGAACAACGCACGTCGTTGAACCCTAAAGGCAGCGATTGCCTTTCAGTAGTGAGACTTTTTTCTTCTTGTTTCCCCACTGATATTTTTCGTGTAGCCTACTTTTTCTAGCCTTCATCTTTTAATTTCGGTTTGAATTTTATCTTATATCAACTATGTCTTCAAGAACCTTTCACAGGTAAAAAAGAACTGTTCAGTGATCACAAAAGCAAACGACATGGTGGCGACTGCGCTCTCAATTCCCATTACATCACTGTCAAGTCTGGAGTTGGCGTTAGTCCATATTGGAGCCTTAGCCACTTCACCTGCGTTGAGCTATGAGGTCCTAGCGGCTCCGCTTCAACTGCCTGTACCTGAGGACGTGGCTGCCGCTACACCACATCTTAGTAAACTATTCTGGTATGGAATTCTCTAAGCGTGAGAGAATTAGGGCACTCTGCTCTTTGATTTCCAAATGAACGCTAGAGGTCACCGACCTACATTTGACGTATCGCCCGCGATGGTGCATCATGACCCCTACCGAGTGTGGAAAAACCCTCCACTTTTTTTGGGTGCTGCACATGTGCTCCTTGTCAAGCATCAAGGAGTGCTTGCAAGGCTTTATGACAGGTATTTAGGAGGGTTGGCTGGTGCAAATGTTGTTTTTTGAGGAGTGCGTGACCTAATTACTCATCCCTATTCGCTAAATGAGTACCCCAAAATTTCCTGAAAAAAAAAAAAAACGTAGCGAAAAGTCGGTTTCGTCCATTAATCATAAGTTCACATGGGCGATACATCTGCTCATAAAACTGGTTTTCTGATGCGCTTATCAGCTCTGCCTCTTCGAAGACAGAAAAAAAGAGGAACAACAACTAGAGCTAATCGCATTCAACGAATAACAGAAGTTTGACCTTTTGAGATCGATGTTCTATTATTTATTAATCGAGTTTTTCATGGGATATAAAAGCCCGCTTGTTAGTAATTATTTTGGAACAGCAGTTGATAAAACAGATCCTTCTGAGATCTTTGGCCGAGCTTTCCCTCAAAGGCTCACTCCATTCATCGAGCTCAGTGGACAGATTAAATTCAATTTAGAGTCGAGCGATTCTCATTATCGAAAATGTCGTGGTTCGAAGTGGTGACAGACTGGGGTTCGAAATAGGGATTATGCAATTTGAAGATCAATAAGCGTCTTTTTAAGATTCACCAGGCACTTCATTTTGTCAATTGCCAATGCTTGGGTTCCCAGGGGGTGTATAATATGAAGTGAGAGTCAAAACAGTAGATAGATAATAATAGCACAGGAAAATGATAAGGTCTTTGACGTTGATCAGCCCCTTTTTTGGGATGCGCCCCGCAGTCGACTTCCACTCAGATTGGTGGCATTAGGAATGCGTATATGCCTATCACAAAGGCCTGCGGTGGCCAGCCGGTGTACAAGTCAGGGCGTTTATCCTTCCAGACGAGTCTGACACCAATCGGCCAACCCCGGAGAGATGGAATGCCTGGCTCACCAGGGCGGTGACCACACCCCCGATAGCCAGGGAACAATGAAGGCTCCCATAACGTACCAATTGGGTTCAGGAGATATACAGGAAACAAGAAAAAAGTGAGTGTTGCTCTTGTTTTTACGTGTTCATACTGAATCCAACAAGAGTACCTGCCCTCTCTTGTTAGCGTTACATCATTGCTGCTGCAGTTTCACTTTTATCATGTCTAATCACGTCTAGTGGGAGAGCTCTATCGACATGTTGATTCGTCCAAATAGAGGCGGAGAGTTAGGACATAGCCTAGTATCAGGAACTCTTCGCCTTTTATTATTGTTGTTTGATCTTTGTCTAAGTTTCGTTACTCATTACTTTTACTTTATATGCTTTACATTACAAATGGGTTGGAGTTACTTCACGGTCGGTGTGGATAACCCACGTGCTGCGCCTTGAAAAAGCTGTGAGGAGCCCGGTGGTGGAAAGCCTCATTAGCTTCGAACTCAGCCAACCCGGCGATCTTCTGATTTCTTTCTTTGCTTTATTTCGTTTGGAAAATAGATACTCCAGACAAAACGAAGAAAAGAAAGAAAACAGATCTTGTCAGAAGAACGCTGATTCATAGCCATAAAAAAGCCATCGGAAATCAAACAAGAGCTCACTCCTTTCATATATTACGTGTCTGCCGCATCCTTCGTTTTCCCATTTCGAATCCCAGCTATTTCATTGTTTCCCAGATTGTGAAGACAAAGTGGTCAATTAGGCTACCCGTAGACGACAACGGACTCATTTGACTTGCATAGTGGCTTGCCGGCATGTCTTCGTGAAGCCGTATGCGCATCTAAACACCCCTATGACACTGAATGGAAGTGGAGGGCAAGGCGCATATTGGGAAATTAACCACCGCCCAAAATCTAATTGGATTCGCCCATTGTTGAATCATTCTTCAAGTTCCATCGGATGCG